AGTGTACCTCTGGTGCAAATTACTGACCTCTGTCATCATTTTAAGTGGGGGAACTTGCACAATCGGTGGCTGACTAAATACTTTTTTGCCCCACTGTAATTCTCTGAATGTTCTAATTGTATTCTGTGACTATGATGGGTCAATGACGTTGTGGCGGGTGTGGTTTGTGGTGAGCTGCAGTGGAGACTGACACCTGAGTTTGTTGTTGTTGTGCCGTATGTGTGGCTGGCAGCTGGGAAGCTGCAGCCGAGAGTTAAAAGAGCAGCAAATGGGAATAGTGTTACAAAGTGCAAATATGTGGTCGGGTCCGTCCTTACTGCCACAAACTTGTTCTTATAAATGATGCTGTACTTCCTGTTATTCTTATAACATGCAGATTGCATGGGGTCTTAAATCAGGAGACCCTTTCATGAATGTAAACACAGAGGGTGCAAGGTGCAAACCACTGGTTACAGTCAAGAACAAGAACGCCAGATTAGACTGCCAGAAAAAAATATAATAGACCCTGCACATATATTTGGATGAAACCAAGATGAACTGATGCACACTGCAAACATGTGGAGGTAATGTTACAGTATGGGCATGTATGACTGCCAGTGGAACTGGTCACTAGTTTTTATGGATGATGTAAGTGCTGAGAGAAGAAGCAGTGCTGCAAAACCGATCAGATGGCACTTCCTAGCGCACAGGGATAATGACCCAAAGCAAAGTGCGAAAACAACCCAAGAGTTTCTCAATCCAAAGAAATTGGATATTCTTCAATGGCCAAGTCTGTAAACTGATCTCAACCTAGTGGGGCAGGTTTTTAAAAAACTGAAGACAAAACTAAAGGCAGAGAAACCCACAAACAAGCAGGAGGAAACCGCGTTTGGTAACATCCACGGGTTCTACACTTCAGGGAGTCAAAGGCATTTCCTCCAACTATCAAAAACATATATTATATATTTAAAATTGTGTTCGTTTGTCCAGTTACTTTGGATAAACGTTCTTAAAATGTTAACGTTTATAAAAAAAAAAAGATTGTAAACTGTTAATGCAAGGCTTTTGTAAAACCCCTTAAATTAAAGCTGAATGTCGGCACTTCAATCACAGCTTGACTGCTCTGGTCCAACATGGCAATCTACATAAGCAAAACCACAAGAATTGAGTCTTTGTCCAAAAAGTTATGGACCTATCTGTGTAGGAGTTTCCTTTCACATGGTTTCACCCTAACATCTGTTATCCACAGTTTGACTGACATAGATGGTGACGTGTTGCTTTTATCACTTGTGTGTCTTGCCTTTTCGAAACTGTTTGTACGTGCATCATCGACTCTTTTATCCTCCTGTCTGTTCTACACAATATCCTAACAGCCATTTATCAAATCCTGACAGGGAAAAGTTCAGGGAAGTACATGTATTTGCCTTCTTGCCGACAGTTTGTGGAGAGGAATGATGCATCTCTCAAGTGTATACATTAAATTTAAAGCTAACGCCAGTTTCTGGCTAAATTAACTTATTAGGGAGTCAGTCCAAAGGTAATCATCGCCTCTAACGCCCAACTTTTCACTGTCTGTATTCTTATAAAGCGTACTGCAAAATGTGGCGCATCCTAATGCTCCTGGCATAAATACTCAACTGCAAATACTCTCATCTCTAAACGGCATTCATCTCAACTCCAGTGGCTTATTAACCTGTCACTCACAATATTTCAAACACAAGTGGTCCAATTTTCTTTTTTCTAATCCCCAAAAAAACCAAACTTTCCACTGAATTGCTGTTTTCAAAATAATCCGTTTCCCAGGAGTGACGCTACAGTCCCAGATCATAGCAAAGAGACCCATTTGTCAGGGTAACATGTTTACTTTTGCTTTGTTCGCTCATTTGTTTAATCACAAATATTTTAATTTTCTTGTCTCTGTGGGGTTTATTTTATGGATTTTTTATTTACTAGTAGAACTGGAGGTGACACAAAGGTGAAAAAAACAGATGTCACCCAAAGCTGAAAACACCTGGTGCCTTTCTACGCCACACATTCAGCACCGGAGACAAAATTTGTTGTTTGAGAGCCTCGGGACGAAACATAAATGCAAATTCTCTTCTGCGTGTTATTGAGGGCTGAACTCAGCCTAATGCTGTTTCTTTTTTTGCAGACTTTTTTGCAGCAGTGGAACATTTAGAGTCTACATTATGGAGCCCTTAAATCAATAATGTCTGTATCAATAAGTAACACCTACTTGTGTTTGCATAACTAAGCATTTTCATGCACATTTAATGTCTGCAGCAAATCACCATTTTGAACCTCGGAGACCAAACTTTTGAACATCGTGATAATGATTTGTTTTTCTTTTAAACAGCCTGAAGACCACACTGAAAAAGAAGCTTTCGGGAGATGTGGTCAACCTGTCGGGAATCCCGCTCTCCGGCCGGGATGTCCACCGCGTGGCCTTCTACCTTCAGAGCAGCAGTGACATGGTGTCCGCCGTAGACCTGAGCTTCACTGAACTGCAGGACGACAGCTTACGCATGCTGCTGCCCTACCTCAGCTGCTTGCCGAAACTCACCATACTTGCTGTTAATGGCAACCGTCTGACAGCGGCCATCCTGAAAGACCTGACAGATGTAATGAAGGAGCCCAAGAAGTTCCCCACGCTGGCCTGGATTGACTTGGGGAACAATGTGGATATCTTCACCATCCCGCAGCCGCTGCTCGTGGCGCTGCGGCGCCGCTTCGGTTTACGCAGCAGCCTCCCCACCATCTACGAGTACAGTGAGGCGCAGGCATTCGGTAGCTATAACCCGAACATGGAGACCTCTGTGGAGGAGCCTAGTCTGTACGAGGAGGGAGATATAGTAGAAGATGATAGAGAGGAGGAGGAGGAAGAGGACAGACTGGAGCTTCAAGCCTGGGGCTTTGGAGAAGAAAGCATGTCAAAAAACGTGCCGGTGCACTTCTGTGGGAGGTGATCGCCCAGAGCTGCTTTCTTTTTGACTGGCAGCCTTGCATATCCCTCTGTATCACCTTGCTCCTCCTGCGTTAGCTGATGTCAGTGTGGTAGAAGATGCTTACAGTGACCCACACGTTTCTGAAAATAACTTTAAAATAAGTAAATGTGCTGTGTGTCCCTCTGGATGCTCTGACTACTGAAATTAAATGTGAGAATATGTTTATGGACTGATTTATCCTTCATTTATCCAGGGGAGTCTGAACTGATCCAGCTTCCAGCGCTTCATCTTACTGAAGTTGTGTGCTTGTCCCACTTGGAAGCTGGAGCAGCTGTGGATTAAGTGCCTTGCACGAGGGCACATCAGCAGTAGCTGCTGAGGAAGAGGGGAGTGTTATTAATTCACTTTCTCTAAGCACATCCTTTCTTTTTTCCATTTCTTACCTGAATATGTCAGGGTCTGATATATATGTAATTAACTATATATCCTGCATAGGAAACACTTAAGAAACAGGAACATTTAACTTACTTAGAGAAGAAAGAGTGTGGAAAGTATAAGCAACAAGTTGACTGTAATGAGTCGTTCATCAGCACTCCTGATCCAAGACTGTACACTGGGTAATTATTCACTAGAGCCAGCTGGAGACACTATATTAGTGATTCGTTCGTAACTATCCATAAAGTGAGGAGTTTGATTGAAACACAAAGTGACAGAGTAGTCATGAGGAACTGCTGAGGCCACACAGACAGAGTAACAAATGTTAAATATTAATTAGATTTTTAGTAATGAATAAGCAGTTATTGTTTTGGGTTGATGAATATTTGGATCAGAGTTGATGAATTTATGTATGATTATGAACCAGTCCTCCTCCTCCTCCCCCTCCTCCATCCCACCCAATCCCTAACATCCTGTCACACCAACCCTCTGCAATTACTCCTTCACTACATCTTTGAATCTCTTTTGTGGTTTTCCTCTTTTCCTCCTCCCTGGCAGCTCCATCATTAGCATCCTTTGTCCATTATCTCCACTATCCCTCCTCTGCACATGTCCAAACCATCTCAGTATTGCCTCTCTAACTTTGTCTCCAAACTATGAGTACCACCATCTCCAAGTCATACACCACCGCAGGTCTCACTACCTTCCTGTAAACTTTCCTTTTGACTCTCGCTGCTATCCTTCTGGCACTTATCTCCACCCTGCCTGCACTCTCTTCTTCACATCTCTTGTGCACTACCTCTCTGTTTGGATGGTTACCCCCAGGTGTTTCACCTAATGACACACTAATATAGTATTTTCCAGCTGGTTCTGTAGGAAGGAATTGTCAGAGGTTCGGGTGGGAGAGCACTGATGAACGACTGATTACATATTGGTTCATTCCTGAGTCATTCCTCTCTTGTTCTAACCAAGCAAGTTTTTTTTTCTGCCCTTTATTGTAAAATCTTAGAGCTTTTTAGCGATATGTATGTTTTATCTGGAAATAAATTAAAGTAATTCTGTTTTCATTAAATATGATTTCCGTTTTGCTACAGCTGGGACTCAGGAGTTCTGTTTTTTTAATCGATCAGTTATGATAAGCTAATAAAGCATACTGAATGATGCTTCAAGTCCGTGCCGATGTGCCGACGGAAGCCCTGATGCACGCATGGACACATGCTGGCAGGAGCACACAGAGTTTGTGAGCTGCTGATGAACTGGTTACTGCCTCTATCAGGGCTCGTTATGCCCCTTCAGTCAGAGACGGTGTACAGAGGATCTATTTTTTTCTCAGCAAATAGGACTGTAGCCCCAGATCATTTCGTCCAATGGCGATCACCGTTTATGAATCAGACAACAACAAACGAGAAGGAAACCGCCTATTTTGAAGATGTTCTCACAGTTTTGTAGACTACAAGCAGTTCTGCTTTTTCTTTCCCTTTCTGCTGTTACGCTCCCACGGACAGATCGGATTTTGTTGTGGCATGAGTTTTGTTTGTTTGTTTTTATATATATGGGTGGCTGCCACCCTTTTGTATTGGTTTTAACAAGTGGGCATGACTGTTTACTGTAACACAGCATCAGAACCCGCAGACAGATAGCATCTACGTGTGCACTACATTTCAAATTCTTTTGAATGGGGAGGTTGATGATTTTTTTTTTTAAACTGCTGTCTGTGAATACAGCTCACACTTTATCCTACCAGTATTAATGTGGTCTGTTCTCTTTCAGTGCTGTTATTCATGAAATTCAGAGTATTTGTGTTTACAGGGGGACATTAATGAAATGGATCCTTGGCTTTTGTGTGTCTGTGAGATGGTAATTAGACTGTGTGCATGAGTGTTTTGAACATGCAGAGTAAATTACTACCTTTGATCACAGAAATGAAATGTTTACTCACTTGCGCAACTCCGTCCCTGAATTTGCAATCGTTCCTGTTTTTATTGTTGATATAAAAATAAACGAGTGACTCAGCTGCATAGCAGAAATGAAAATCTGTCCACATCCTCGATTTGATAGATAAGACGTTGACCTTCCTGGAAATTCACTGCGGTAAAGTCGTTTGAAAGTTTACTCAAATGTGACTTTGGCTCGCGAGCCTGCTGTTCCTTCAGAAGTAAACACAGTTTGAATAACATTTCCCTTTTGTGGACTTGTTTCTCGCTAAAGTGGGAAATAATTCTGTTTGGTGAAGCATCTGGATCGCTCTGCTTACATAGTTTGTCTCCTTAAGAAGAAGGAGAGCGATCGCCCTTATTTACTCTGATACTAGTCATTCCTTTACCGTGTACCCACATCCATCCACGCTGACTTTGTCAAGCTGCAGTTTTGACAGCTCGCTTGTCTAGTTTAGAACAGGGGTGGAAAATCGAAACAGGGCACTCATGGGAGCGTGTGACCAGTATAACCACTGGTTCGTTAACACAAAGGACCGGTTTCACACCATAAACATTCATTCGTTACTCTGTAGAAACACTAAACAGTCTCTCTTTGTTTTAAGCCTGCCATGGGAAAACATACCCACATTTCTGTTTTTCAGGTTTTACCGGTGCTTTATACTCTGTCAGTCTTATAACTGGGAAATTTACTCATCTGACTGGAAAGATGTGTGTCAGATCTATGGGGGCATAAGGTATATTTGATGTTTGTATTTTTATGACATGCATGTATATATATATGCTTTAAAGAGATATATTCCTCCCACCACAAGTTGCACCTAAGTCACTCTGCCTGGAAAGCACATGTGTACTCTCATTCATCAGGAATACTTTAAACATTTTCAAGGGGCTCCAATTTCAGCAGCTGGTTTCCATGTCAGTTTTTAGTGCTGCGTAGAGATGAGAACGGTTCCTTGTACGGGCCTGTCAGAGGCACCACCATATCAACATCCTGATGGCTAGTTGTGGCTCTGCTTGCAAGGCATTTTTATGTTTGCAGGAGCAGAGCCTGAGGCTGTCCATCTGTGATTCCTGTCTGTCCCTCTAAAGGAAACACGGGAGTTTCAGATAACAGAGGATGTTGTTCTGGTTTGTAGAGGACGCCGAAACACTATGCAGACATTTACAGAAAGAAAGAAAGTGTACTTTATTGATCCCCATGGGGAAATTCCTCTCTGCATTTAACCCATTCACTCAGTGAAGCAGTGGGCAGCCATTGGGCGAGCAGTGTGGGGAGCAGTGTGTAGGGAGGTACCTTGCTCAGGGGTACCTCAGGGTAGCTGTTCAGGGGAATCAAACCCCCGACCTTCCGATCATGGGGCCACCACTCTACCTACTAAGCTATCCCCGCCCCTATTTCCCTCTGGAGCCTCACATCTGTGCAGTTTGTGACACTTGACTATTGTCTCAAAAATCATAGTGGACAATAATAAAGTATATTTATTTATACTTATTGTAAATACTTTTACTGGCTGGGTTTAGTTTCTCTGCCTTTCAAAACAAAGATCAGAGGTGTAACACTGCCGTTGGGTGTATAAATATTATATTTCTTCAGGCATTCTCGTTAAGATGAAAATCGAACACAAAGTTTGAACAAGAAAAAAATGCAGCAGCAAAAACAACACATCACACTTATCAAAGAATCATTCAAATGTTTTAGGAGTCCTAAAGTACATCAACGCTCACACACTCCTGTCTCATCGGTCCACTTTTAGCTTTGATGGCAGCGCACATTTGTCATGATGTCACATCGGTAAGATTATGCAGTGTCACATTTATTTCCATCCAGAATTGCATTATGTTTTCACCAAGTGTAAAGTCTTCTCCAGAACAATCCCCAAAATTCTGAATCGGGTCAAAATGCAAACTCTGTGGTGGCCAATGCATGTGTAAAAATGATGTCTCTCACATTTTGAGCCAGATGAAACCCAACATTGTCATCCTGAAATATGGCATCAGGAAGAAGAAAAATCCCTGATGGAAAAACCTGGTTATTCAGTATGTTCAGGTACATGGTTGACCTCATTTTTGGGCACCTGATGTTACTAAACCTAGACCAACAGTCCACTCCAAGCCTCTATTTGTTTAGTTCAAATCCAGTGGGAACACTTTTTTAGCCAAGAAGTATATATAAACATGTATGCTTCCTCTTTCTCTTTCTCTTAGTTTGACATCATAGGTAAATGTCACAGACATTTTCTACAGAATTTTCTACAGAAAGCAGAAGACATTAAAGACTTCCCATTCATCTAAACCGAGGATAATTCCTCAACAGGTTTGACTATTAATCTGAAGTTCCCTTGAACAAGAGAAATCCACCAGTAAAGCTTTTATGGATTACCTTTGAATTATCAACCATTACATCGTCCACCTAGTGTGTGAGCAGTGGCATTAAAATGTCAGTCCAGAAATCATTTATCACCAAGTTTTAAAATGGAGCTTTTGAATGTACACCACTGGCATGTGCTGTAACCCCCTGCTGAACATGATGTACATGTGATCAGGCAACGTGAGAACATAGCTGCAAGTAACAATAAAACATTTTAAAAGACGTCATAGCTACAGTGTAAAAATCTGTTCGTTTGTGATAAATTATTATTGAGTACAAATAAAAAGTGAAAAAAAAGTCAAATAAAAAAGATTTTTCTCCTATTAATTGCATGAGCTAGAGTATAGCACAGTTGTATTTCAGTAGATTTGCTCCACTCAAAATAAATTGTGACTAAAACTGCTTTTTCTGTGTAATAAAAATACAGTACACCAAATACTTGAACATTTGTTTAACTTCTCCTGAGATGTGCATGAACCCAAGCCTTTAGTGAGCAGTGGATTGCTCTTTTCTTGGAAAGCATACATGCTCCATCTAGTGGCGTTTGTTGGCTGCACAGAGCCAGCTGAAAGAAGAGCTTGTTAGTGCAAGCAGCAGTTCAGAGTTTATTCCATTCACCCATGCATTTCTGATCTCACCAGGAGAACAGATGAGAAAGCAAACACACATGGCTTATTTCTTCTCTACCTCAATAAAAAGCGATGGGGGAACCGATCAGTCATTCCCATAGTATGCTTTGTTTCACAATCCTAGAGACTGATAGCTTCTGGACTCTCTCCCAGAGTTTGCAGTCCTTGAGTTTGAACTTGTCATATGGTTCTCATCCAAAGTTAGTTTCTACAGACAAAAGAACACAAACCACCTCCAGAAATGCGGGGGTTCCAAAAACACTGCTTCGAAGGTGGTCTTTGCTTTGGTCTTCCTCATTTGTGGAAGTCAAAGAATACAATTTATTTCTCACGGGAAAGCACCTTGTCCACTAATGTTGATTTCCTATCAGTGACAAGGTCTTCTTTCATAATTTTCATAAAAAGAAAAGAAGACAGTGTCCAGTGTGTGAGATGAAACATTAAGGTGAGAGCTTATTAATCAGTGACAGTTTTAAAAAGTAGGTTAAGGGAAAGCACCAAAGATAATTTGGCTACAGCCTGTGAAATCTGAAGATGTGCTGTTTCTCCTTATTTGGATCTGATAGACCTGAAGATTTATTTCCCTTTCACTCAGAGGTGAGCTTTGCTTTTTGTCACTTTGATATTTTTAAGCTAATTCACTTAAAAAGGATATTTTTTTTTTAAAACCCACCATGCAACACTAAACTACTGATATGCATCATCCATGTACCTGAATGACATATAGGAGTGGAAACATGCTAGTTTAGTACTCCTGTGTCCAGTGTGCCATTAAGTTACAAATGGAGTGTCTCCAGATCTGCTGATGTTTAGTACTTAAGATGGGTTGAACAACACACGGCTCAAAAACAATCTCCAAATTTTTCCTCTTCAAGCAGTTTCCCAGACAATCTGAGCACAAAGAGAAGCAGGTAAGTTAAGATATATGAGCCAGGCTTCACTAAGTGCGGTGATTACAACGATTCCAATCGCTTCCTTAAGAAGAGGAAGTCAACAGCCTCAGGTGCATGATAACCCACAGGTGCAGGGAAGCCAGAAGGCGGGAACAGAAAACACCAAAACCATCACACCCGATGGTTACTGTACTTTACAATGTATCACTTTACAATGTATCACTCTATGAGATAACTGGATAACATCGTGGAGAGGCTCTCCAACGGGAATGGTGAGGAACCAGTGATGGACATTAGATCGACTGTAAAATTGACATGCAGTGGTTCGCACTAAAGCAAGAACACCACCATTATTTCATGCGGCTACCATATCGACGCCAGCTGCAGTCTCAAGGCTGGAGCTGAACATAACAAACAACTTCTCCCCTGATAACAAACTGTGTTTAGACTCTTCGTTCCAAACGCCCTCGTACGCTTATCTCCAAGGCCGAGTTGGACGACGGGTCTGGCCCAGCGCTGGATGAATAGTTGCAGGGCAGGATGGCTGTGTCTGGATCGGCTTACTTCTCACCCCATTTCGCTGCAGGGCAACTTGCATGTGACAAATAAAGGCTTTGTGGACTTGACTTTCTTGTGTTTTTGTATTTTGTTCTTTATTTATTCCATGGTTCCTAGGTTGTTCGGTTAAGTTTATTAGATTTCCCCCATGTCTTTACCCCATGTGTCCCCCTCCATGTATCTGTGAGTTCCCACGCCTCGTTTCTCCTCGTGTTTTATTCCATGTTTTCCCCAGCCCGTTATGTCTGTGCTCTTCACGTGTTCTCTCTCCCTTCAGTCTGCTTCTCTGTGTACTTCCTGTTTTACTTTGATAGTCTCCCGTCAGTATACATCATGTTGTGTTTGCTCCTGCCCTGTCTTGTTATGATTTGAGCCCTCACACTAGCAGATTTTAGTGCATTACTGTTTTGCATAAAAACATTTAATTTAATGATGTTATCAGGATATCTAGAGAAAACAAGCTGATGCTATGATTTTCAAAGTCATCCTTTATTTCATTTTTAGGTTGTTATAGCAGATAAATCTCACTTAAAGCACAAATTTAGAGAGGTGTCAAAGAGAGACTCTGTAACTCTAATTGCAGAAGAGCGTAACAGTTGAACAATCACTTTTAACTAATAAAAAAGCAACCACATGAACTGATTACCACACATCTTCTGTCAGTTACAAGCTAACTGTAACAATGCAAGCCAGGATCCATCTGTGGTCACCACATCAAAGACTTTATATAAAATCTGTCCTGTTGCACAAGAGTATGCCCTTCCTGTAAAACTCTAGAGTGTACCTCTAGAGTTTTACAGAATAATTTAACAAAAGATTCGTTTAATAGCCAAAAATGAAAGCACACAAAAGGAAACAGGGTCACAAACAATAAAGCAGAACATCACAAAAGGGACCATAAAAAGCAAAGAACTTAACAGCCAGACAAAGACTTGGAAACACATAGGACTACAAATATACAAATATATAAATATATATCTCAGGGCACTGAGACAGAATGAGGGAGGAGCAAACAATCACAAAAGGAAGGAAAGGAAAAGAAAATAAAACTGTGTGACACAACACAGAACTGACATTGGATGTAAAACAGGATATAACTCCCAGAAAAATAACACTGAGACGTAGGAACCGCACTACACTAGAGGACAGAGAGAGGTCAAAGCCATTTAGACATGACCAGATCAGAAGGAGGAAACACAGATGGAAATAAATTAAAACAAGCGATCGTACACAAAGAGAAGAATTCAAACGCTTTAACACCACTTAACACCACTGGAACAAAAGAGCCTTTGTTCGTGGTGGCTCTATCAGATCAGAACTTGAACAACTAGAAGCAGCAACCACCAAAAAGTAGTTTAAAGATACGTCGAACATGCTGGATTATATGTCTACCTCTACTTGGTTGCATGTTTTTAACATGAAAGAAAAAAGTAGAACTCTTCCATCCTGCAGTGCAGCCACACAGTGCAAAAAATATTCAGGTCGAATCTAAAACTCTAAAGTGTGTTACTGCTGGCCTGAAGGGATCCACAAATTTATTTTAATGTGGCTACGTGAAATAAAATCACCATAAGGTCACTGTTTGATGTACTACTGTGGATGACAGTGAATTTAAAGAGAGTCGGCACTGTTCTCACTTCACACACAACAATGCGTCTTGTGTAGTTACCTCAGATGCACTTTTTCTCTCCTGCACCACTGCTGCAGCAGCTGCGCGTATTTCAAAGACGCATATTTTCTGTATGATTTCGTAATATTACACAC